GTGATCGCATAGATTGACTAGGCTACAATAAATAGATGGATGATTGATTGATTGATGATTATTAAGTCAATTCAATTACTATAATTATTGTTGTCATTGTTATTATTGCTCGTTTTACTTGTTTTGCATGTTCTTCTTATAGACTTTTTCCAAACTCGTCTAAAATCACTGCACGGATCTTTCAGCGTGTAGCTTGCAGCTGCTACACGACGCTCAACACTCTCGTTCTCTGTGTTGTTGGTTGTACAGAGTTGTCCTCGGTGTAATGTGCGGTATATGCAGCCATATTTGCAGTGTGGCGGCTGATAACGAGGGAACTGTTGCTCTACTTCCTGTCTTGTAAACACGCTCTGTTCTGCAAACACGTCCCTGCCCCATGGAGCTGGAGCATGGTGGTACACGAGACTCAGCCCCGGCGGAGGAGCAGCTACTACACAGGAGGGAGGAGTGCGTGCGTGCGTGCGTGCGTGTACGCGCGGGGAGGGAGGGGAGGGGTGTGTGAGGAGTTGAAAGCGCCGTCCAACACGTGAGGCTCATGTGACGGAGTCAGTGTCTCTTGTGGAGAGACGTGCCTGTAGTCACAGGGTTTATTTAACACGTAGTCAAAAACCCACCCAGCTCTCACACTTCTTCCAGCCGGGCGTGGAGCTGCGATCACAGACACACACACTCACACACCACCGGAGTCCGGACCCGAGGTGACAGCGCTGCACGGTGCCCAACCACTCAGAGCGGGAACGCAGCAACACACACTCTGGACAACAGGAGATACTTCTTCGATTCTCGTGTGTGGATTTTTTCGCGACTGCATTTGAAGGCTTTTTGAAGACTTTTGCAGTGAAACGACATGGAGAGGATTACGAGTGCGCAACCACCTCCCTGTGTACCCAAACACCCATCACTGGATATAGCTGACATGTCAGGGTAAAAGGACATTTTTTAAAATATATTTTATTCTTCTTCAAACTATATATGTAAAGCACGCTTACCAAAGTAAAAACTAACTAATTCTGTTTTTTTTTTCTAAAGAATGGATTTCCCAATGTACGTATACAAACCCAGGAGGGGCTTGAAGCGCATGGATGAGAGCAAGGTAAATAAAAGTTTTTTATTTACTTAAATACATCATATTCCTGCATTTAGCAACAAGGATTTCTCTGACAAAAGATTTCCTCTCCTCTCCAGGAGACCTACAAGTTGCCACACCGACTGATCGAAAAGAAAAGACGGGACAGGATCAACGAATGCATCGCCCAACTGAAGGATTTGTTGCCTGAACATCTGAAGCTCACGGTGGGTATTATGTTCTACATGTGGCATGTGTGTGTGTGAACAGCCAGGGAACCCGAGACGCCACATGGTTTCTCTGGACTCAGATTTGGAGGCTCAAAAGATAGAAAAGTTTTTAGATTTTAAGAGGAGAAAATACATAAAGATATATCATTTTTCAATATGGTATTTTTTTCTATTTCAGCTTTTTATTTAGTTTTGAGATGTTTGAGATTGTTGTTGAGAATTTTTCGATGTGTGTATATCTGTGCCTGTGTGTGCGTACGTGGATTGCATGACTACCCCAGGCCTGTCCTCTGTTCAGCTGCAGAATGTGTTACATAAGAAAGATCAACATGCTTATCGAAGGTCTTCCTGTTTTAGACGCTGGGTCATTTGGAGAAAGCTGTGGTGCTGGAACTCACTCTCAAGCATGTGAAAGCCCTGAGTACTCTCCTGGATCAACAGCAGCAGAAAATCATGGCACTACAGAAGGACCTGCAAATTAGTAAGTCCCGTGTCTGTGATGTCTTGTTGATATGAAGTACAAGCAGATGTTTTGCAGGAGGCAGACCAGGCTCTTTGCAGTCAGTTATTGCATTAATACTGTGCAAAAAGTTTTCTTGACCTTGTGTTTTTAAACTTCCAGGTGATCATGGAGGTGATGGTGCAGAGAGCAGCGAGGAGATGTTTCGCTCTGGGTTTCACTTGTGTGCAAAAGAGGTCCTGCACTGTCTGGCCAACCAAGAAAGCAGCAAGGACCTGACCGCTTCCCATGTCATCGGCCACATCCAGAAAGTAGCAGCTGAAGTCCTGCAGCATCAAAGCAGCCTACATCCAGAGGAGACTGTCCCTCAAGCTACAGTGAAGGTGAAGCAGCCCGCAGGACAGCCCCTGCGGGCCTCCGAGGGCACCGCCAAGAACTGTGTCCCTGTCATTCAGAGGACTTACCCCCACGGGACAGGGGAGCAAAGCGGCAGTGACACAGACACAGACAGCGGGTACGGGGGAGAGCGCGACCCCAGAGCTCAGTGGTCAGAAAGCCACGCGAGAGAGGGGGGAGTCAAGCACGCTTCGTCTGAATGTACGACCGGTGCCATCAAGCAGGAGGGCGATGAGCCACATGCCAAGAAGTCAAGGTCTGACTCGACCGAGGAAGAGATCCCCGCCGGTCACGCCACAGGAGGCCCCGGCAGCTACATGAGCTTCTCAGCCAACCAGCCCCCGTTTTGCCTACCCTTCTACCTCATACCCCCCGCAGCTGCTGCAGCCGCAGCGTATCTGCCCATGCTGGAGAAATGCTGGTACACAGGGGGCATGCCAGTCATGTACCCAGGCATGAATGGCTCTTCAGTGAGCCTGCACCCAGAAACACTTCCCTCATCCTTGGTGATGTCCCCAAGGGGAGGGTCTCCGGTCCCACACCACGCCGCCATGGACTCCCCTGCTCTTCACAAAGCTTTAAAGCAGGTCCCTCCTTTGAACTTGGAAACCAAAGACTAAACAGAAGTGTTTCTGTGGAAACTTTGCCCTTCAAATGTTGAACAGGGTTAAATAGTTGGCCCAACTGAGAAGACTCTGAACTGGTATCCCTTCAAACCACCGCTGTTGTTTGGCCGATCAGAACACTGACCCCAGCAGAGAGCCCCAACTGGAAACCACCATTAATCATCAGCTTCCCACATATTCAAACAGGATCTCTTGGGGCAACCTGCAGTGTCCATGCAGTGGCTCGTATATTACCTGTTGCACGGCTCTGAAACACTGTGAACATGATCAGTTAAAGTGTCTTTCTTTGTTTCTGTTTCTAGCAAGGTTCGCCTTCTCCACGCTCATTGTTGAATGTCAGAAGTTTACCCAGAGTGTAGGACACAGATACACCACTCCCTCCCAAAGAAACATGTATTATTTGGACCTACCTTTTGTACACACACAC